ACACTGGTAATGTGCTGCCGAAATCACATCGTGGTTGCGAGTGGGGGGTTCATGTTCAACTACGGCACCGTCCACCCATGGATTTCGATCGTCTTCGCGAATGCGCACATGGCCTGGCCCGCGTTGAATAGCACGACCATGGTGCGACAACCTCCTGCAGGGTCGGACGCGTCGGAGAATTTGGCGCGGGCGACGGCTTCCTCGGATTGCGCAACACGTTGCGCAATCCGATGTACTGACGGCGCCCCGCGAGCCACGTTGGAAAAGTTCCCGAGGCAGGCACTAATTGCTCCTCGGTCGCGCTCGGAAATGATTTTATCGACAACGACAACGACCCCATAAAGAAAGGAGCATGCGTATACTAGGAGGGTGAGGAACAAAAACACGCATTGGGAACTTCAGCGCGCGTCGTCCTGCACAGGCGTCAGAGCGAAGGACAGGGAGCGACCGAGCAGCTGGCCATAGGGATTCCGCGGATACGACGCCAGGGGCACCGAATGAAAGCTGCACTGCAAAAGCTGGCTGCAAAAGGAGAGCGACGATCAGGTGGGTGATAATGACCGGAAAAGAAAAGAAATGAATGCGACATCGGATCCTACCTGTAACGCCGTAGCATAGAACCGCCATGCTAGGAGAAGGAACGGAGGAGAGAGGAGTAAGGGAGGAGTAGGAGGAGGGAGGACGAAAAGAGGGAGGAGGCAAGGGAGGGGGAGGACGGAACGGAAGAAGGGGGTCCTGTAGTCTGCTTTCGCTTGCACTGTGCACTGCCTCCTTTTCCTCGGCTTGGGCTACGTTTCCGGACTCTGCTGACCAAGCTCCGAACCGAACCGACTTGGGGGAGGTGGGGGGGGGGACCAGTGCGGGACGCGCGCGGAAGAGTGCGAGGATTTCAAACTGGCGCGGAGGCCTCCCCCCGAGCTATCTCAGACGCCTCCGATGCAAGGAGGGCGGTCGAGTGCGGGCGCGCGAGGAGAATTTCAATTCGGAGTGAACGCCTCTGGCAACTACCTCCAGCGACCTCTGGCGGGGGGAGTGCGAACATATGCGGGGGATTTCAACTTGTATTGAACGCTTTTGGCAGCTATCTCCAGAGGCCTCCTCTGCGAGGAGCGCGGACGAGCGCAGCAGAATTCGAATTGGCGCGGGGGCCACTGGGTAAGCACATTCACTCTGTAGGATCCAGCGCTGGTAGAGTACCTGTAAAGCGCCTGCCACAAGTCGGCGTCGTCGCCCCTCCTCGACGGCCGGCACTCCGGATCAGCAGCTCGCTTCGCCGCGAATCCGCGGTGCCATTCGACTGCTTTCGCATCCGCTTTCGACGACAAGCTCTCGAGTTGAATTGAATCTCGCAAGCCCTGCGACCAAGGTACTTCTGCCCACCGGCGGTCCGTCTCTGCCGGTTCAGGGGCCGGCTGAATGCGAAGGGCGTCTGTGGGACGAACAGAGGTAGCAAGCGTAAGTGCTGGGGGCCACTGAGGGGTGAAGGTCTGCATGGGGCGTGGACTTGATGGGCGTGTCCTGCGCGGGCGTGGCAACGCCCGCGTTGACTGCGTCGCCGGCCTGCCGAACTTCCACCAACGGCGAGCCATCGCCATCCTCCGCCCCCCCCGGCTGATCAGCTGAGAACCCGCCGGGCGAAGGGTTCAGGAAGTACCTAGCCAAGCACTGCCTCCTGGCATCGTCGGCGCCTCGTTTACGCGGCAATTCATTGTACCTTGTGAAGAGCGTGTCAGGCCACCAGCTTGCCAGCTGTGGGTGTCAAGCACCGAACGCGCGCGTATCCAGGCGCCCCCGCGCCGTGCAGCATATCCGCACAAACCACCCAGGTTCACCTCGGCGCCCATCTCTCGCCTTGATTTCTTGAACTGCTCGCACGGCGGTGGCAAAGCGGACAGTGCGCATTTGGGCGCCATAGCGGGGGCCGTACGTTTGACGGAGAGCCGCCAGCGATCGTCGCCGTTCAAATATCGAGCAGTCTGAACCCGCATGAGCCAGGGTGGCTACAGCTCCTGCTGCTGATGATGATGGTGGTGAGGATGGTGGTGATGATGGTGATCGCCCCCCCGCTCACATGCCCCTGTGGCCTCCCGAAAGTGCCACGCGCGCTAGGCCCTGGGAAACCAACCCCTCTACGCACCCTCTATGGTGTCGAGAAAATGCCACGCCTGCTATGCCCTTGGCGACCGTCGCGCACAGCGGCCGCGGTGAGAGACCACCCCCTGCGCACCCCCCATGCTGTCGAGGAAATGCTGTCGAGGAAATGCAGCTCGGATGGCCTCGAACCAGTGCTGGATGTCTCCTTCCCTCCTCCTTCCGCTGAATAAGTGCAGCACGTACATCACGGCGGTGCCAATGGGGCGATCGATCGTGCGGGTCGTGGCTTGCTCGGCCTCAAACATGGGAGGGACAATCGCGACCACGTCCTCGGCGAGGCGCACTGGGGGTCGGAGTTGAGGTCCATAGAACGGCCTACAGGGCATCGGGGCCCAGTCGCTGACTCTCCCTGCCCTGCGGTTGGCCGCTTGGGCGACCCTGATGGCCTTGACGTTCTCGTGGAACCGGGCGTCGGGGGCCTGGCCGCCTGTGAAGCCCTTCCATGCTCGAGCGCACGCCGCTGCGCGGCTGAGGTGCCTGCAGAGACGATCGATCGTGCGATGGTCCTCCTGCAGCAGATCTGACACGCGGTGCCCTGTGCCCAACGCCGCGTGTCGTCCTGGTTCGGGTGCTCCTGCGCGCTGGGCTTGGCGACCACAAGCCGCGAATTGTCAGCGCAACCACACTCGTAGCAAAAGAACCGTGAAATGGCCCTATTGTTCTGGTCTTGGAACGCGGGGATGCGGTCGGTGTTGGTCACCTCTCCTCCTCCTCGTCCTCCTCGTCCTCATCGTCCTCCTCCTCCTCCTTTTCCTGAACCTCCTCATCCACCTCCTTCGCCTCAGTCGACGTCCTCGCGCGTGGTCTGTTCTAGTTGTCCAAACCAACAAGATACTGGAGACAAAACCAAATCAGATGTTTTAAATCTTCCAACAGCTCCCTTATAGGGCTATAGGGCTATCGGGCTATAGGGCAATAGGGCTATCGGGCTATAGGGCTATAGGGTTATCGGGTTATAGGGCTATAGGACGATAGGACTGTGACCTATAGGAACATAGGGCTATAGGGCTATGGGGCCATAGTGCTATATGGGCAATGGGGCTATAGGGCTATAGGGACATAAGGCTATTAGGGCTATAGGGATATAGTGCTATAGGGCTACAGGGCTATAGGGCTATACAGCGATAGGGCTATAGGGCTACTGGGCTATGGGGCACCCCTGGGCACCCGGGCACCCCTGGGCACCCGGGCACCCGGGCCCGGCCACCGAAATCGGACACGCACCTCACCGGCCACCCGGGCACCGGGGCACCGCCGGGCACCCGGGCACCCAGGCACCCGGGCCCGGCCACCGAAATCGGCGACGCACCTCACCTAACCCTTTCATCTGCTAGGACCCCTACAGAGGCAAGCTCTGGTTGGGGAAATACTGCAAAGGGAATAGCATCTCGCACCCCCGACCCCGCCAAAAGGCGAGGTATGGGTGCTGGACAAACGTCGGCGGTTCTCCAGTCTGGTCTAGCATCGCTTCCTCCCCTCCCTAACCTCCCCCAAGCCCCAGAGATCCACCCGCTCCAATTGATTCGATGCAAAAGCCCCTGAAGTCTGGACCACTTCTCTGGAGCTGGTTTTTCGTCCTGACCCGCTTTTTGACACTCCCGAGGCCCAGCGAGGGCCCCCCGAGGCCAAAAACGACCCAGAACTGCCCGCTCATTTTTTCGGATCGTCGGATCGCTGGGATGCTCCTTTGGAGCGACGGATCCCTCGCCGCTTCGGGGGTCCGCGCTCCAGGCCTGGTACCGGAGGAGGAGGAGGAGGAGGAGGAGGAGGAGGAGGAGGAGGAGCGCCAGCATCATAATAACATTTGTCCTCAGCGCCCGACCGCGCTGAGCCTCAGTTGTAGTTGTTGAGGCGGTCCAGCGCCGCCCGGTGGCAGCCCCTGTGGAGGGCAGGGGAACTTGCGGACGACGCCGTAGGCTTGACCTCTAAGTAAAAAAGGTAGTAGAGCAACACGAGGTTGCGCATCGCCGTGAACGTGGAATGTTCGTGCTTTGGGTCGTCGTGGTAAGCCGCATCTCCGGCAAACCCAAGCCGATGATGAATATCGCCATGAAGGACTGTCGAGGGCGAGGCGGCCAATGGAGGGCGTGGCGGCATTTAAGATAGTGGCTGATCTCGTCTCGCCCGTCTTCGCATCCGAATACACAGGCGTAGCGCACACCAAGAACATGCATGCGGTAGCTGGTGTGCCACCCCCCCGCAAGGGTCCTCAAGACCATCCACCGCCATGCTGGAGGCAGCTAGGTGAGGATCACCCTCAACTGCCACCACCTCTGTCGTAGGTCATGTGGGATCAGCTCGGGCTCGATCCATGTTGCGAGCCTCTTCCTCGATGTCTTGTCGAAGGTGTCCGGGTAGGTCGCCGCCTGGAGGGACTTCAAGAAAGCCCAGTGCGGGTGAGAGCGCACGCCAGCATTCAAGGACAACTGCACAGCATGTTTGGCTACCTCCGCTGCTTGCCGGTACAGGGGGCGCGCACGGGCGGAGGCCTCCATGGGGCGGTCCCTGGCTGCGGCCGCAAGCCGTTGTACAATGGCAGTGCCAATGCGCCAGAAGGGAGGCGACAACAGCCCAGACGCCAAGGAGGATGAGGAGGAGAAGGAGGAGGAGGAGGAGGAGGAGGAGACGGGGGAGGAGGAGGAAGAGGGAGAGGAGGAGGAGGAGGAAGACGAGGAGGAGGAGGAGGACGACGAGAAGGAGGACGGGGAGGAGGAGGAGGAGAAGAAGGAGGAGGAGAAAGAGGAGTGGGATGCTCCTCCTCTGGGATGCTGTTCCTCGTGCTCCGCTTCGCACCCACTCTCTTCTCCCTGCGGGCACCGTGCCGCCCGACCCCCCCGTCGGCCCACAGGAGCGAGGTCTGCGACCGCGCGCCCGCCGACCCAGACGCGGGGTCCGCGCCTGGCGCGCGGGTGAAGCGCGTGGGCCGCCGCCACCGACGTTCGCCATCGCCGCCATCGCCGCCGTCGCCGCCCTCCTCCGTCCTACACCTTCGTCACCTCCTTCGCCGCCTTCTTCCCCTCGCGTTCCTGTTCCTCCTCCCCATCATCAGAATCATTAGCGGCATCATCATCATAACCAACATCACCATCACCATTTGCATCATCAGCAATATCAGCATCATCCGCATCATCGCCATCACCAGCACCATCACCATCAGCATCACCATCATAATCCTCAGCAGCAACATCACTACTACCATCGTCGTCATCATGATCATCAACATTGTCATCATCATCATCACCGTCATCATCGCCCATCACTGCAATCATAATCGGCATCACCATCTCCACCATCATCATGGTCATTATCATGGTCATGGTCATCATCAGCATCGTCGTCCTCATGAAGCTCATTACCATCGTTGCCACCATCGTCATTCTCATGATCAACATCGTCAGCACCTTGACCACCGAGGTACTCATCAACATCATCGTCATCATCACCCTCGATCGCCATCACCATCACAATCAGCATCACCACAACCGTCATCACCACCATAAGCATCATCACAATCTCCCTCGTCATCACCATCAAAGTCATCATGGTCTCACTCCTCACTGTGGTCGCCGACGCCGTCGTTGCCGTCGTGACCGTTGCCGTCGTCGTCGGCGTCGCCGTCGTCGTAAGAGCGTTGGCCAGTGTAATCGTACTCGTAGTAGTCGAAGTAAGCGTAGCAATCGTAAAAAGAGTAGTACTAGTAGTAGTAGTAGTAGTAGTAGTAGTAGTAGTAGCAGTAGAAGTCGTAGTAGTAGTCGTTGTAGTAGTAGTGATAGTAGTAGTAGTAGTAGTAGTAGTAGTAGTAGTAGTAGTAGTAGTAGTAGTAGTAGTAGTAGTAGTAGTAGTAGTAGTAGTAGTAGTAGTAGTAGTAGTAGTAGTAGTAGTAGTGGTCGTAGTAGTAGTAGTAGTAGTAGTAGTAGTAGTAGTAGTAGTAGTAGTAGTAGTAGTAGTAGTAGTAGTAGTGGTAGTGGTAGTAGTAGTTGTGGTAGTCGCACGGGAAGTAGTAGTAGAAGTAATAGTAGTAGTAGTAGTAGTAGTAATAGAAGTAGTAGCAGCAGTAGTAGCAATAGTTGTAGTAGTAGCAATATCAACAATAACTACAAGAGTCGTAGCCGTGGTACTAGTAGCCGGAGATGCCGTAGTAGTAGTCGTAGTAATAAGAACCATAATGCAAAAAATAGTGGTACTAGTAGAAGTAGTCGTAGCAGTCGTCGTAGCAATACTAGTAGTAGTAGTAGTAGTAGCAGTAGAAGTCGTAGTAGTAGTCGTTGTAGTAGTAGTGATAGTAGCAGTAGTAGTAGTAGTAGTAGTAGTAGTAGTAGTAGTAGTATTAGTAGTAGTAGAAATAGTAGTAGTAGTAGTAGTAGTAGTAGTAGTAGTAGAAATAGTAGTAGTAGTAGTAGTAGTAGTAGTGGTCGTAGTCGTCGTAGTAGTAGTAGTAGTCGTAGTAGTAGTAGTAGTAGTAGTAGTAGTGGTAGTAGTAGTAGTAGTAGTGGTAGTCGCACGGGAAGTAGTAGTAGAAGTAATAGTAGTAGTAGTAGTAGTAGTAGTAATAGAAGTAGTAGCAGCAATAGTAGCAATAGTTGTAGTAGTAGCAACATCAACAATAACTACAAGAGTCGTAGCCGTGGTACTAGTAGCCGGAGCAGCCGTAGTAGTAGTCGTAGTAATAAGAACCATAATGCAAATAATAGTGGTACTAGTAGAAGTAGTCGTAGCAGTCGTCGTAGCAATAGTAGTAGTAGTCGTCGTAGAAGTGGTAGTAACCGTCGTCGTTGTCGTAGGAAGAATATAGAAAAATAGTAGTGGTGATACTCGTCGTAGTCGTAGTAGTCGTAATCGTAGAATTAGTAGTAGCAGTAGTAGTAGTAGTAGTAGTAGTCGTAGTAGTAGTAACTGTTGTCGTAGAAGTGGTAGTAATCCTCGGCGTTGTTGCAGAAGCAATGTAGAAACAGTTGTAAGACTAGTAGAATTAGTAAAAGTAGTAGGAGTGGGGGTGATATTAGTGGCCGTAGTAGTAGAAGTAGTAGTAGTAGTAGTAGTAGTCGTAGTAGTAGTAGTAGTAGCAGTAGTCGTACTGTTAGTCGCAGTAGTGGTGGTAGTAGTAGTAGTAGTAGTCGTAGTAGTAGTAGTAGTAGTAGTAGTAGTATCAGTCGTAGTAGTTGTTGTAATACTACTAGCCGAAGAAATCGTAATAGTAGCAATCGTATTCGCCGCCGTAGTAGCAGGAGGAGGAGACGTACCAGCAGAACTTGCAGCAGCAGTAGGTGCTGTAAATGTAATAGTAGCAACAGAGGCAATAGTAGGAACCATACAAAGCAATAGTAGGAACAGCGTGGTAGCTGTAGTGAAGGAGTTCATAGAAACAGAAGCAATCGTAGCAGTAGAAATTGTAGATGTAGCAGTAGAGGTAGTAGTAGTAGTAGTAGTAGTAGTAATAGTAGGAATAGCCCTCGTCGCCGACAGACCAGTAGTTGTTTGTAGTAGTAGTTGTCGTCGTCGTCGTAGTAGTATGAATAATGATCACAGTCGTAGACGTAAGTGTAGCAGTAGTCGTAGTATCAGTAGTAGTAGCTGTAGTAGTAGTAGTAGCAGCAGCAATAGTAATTGTGGTAGTAATAGTAGTTGTTCGTCGTGCTGTTGTTTTTGGTGTTGGTGCTGTTGTTGTTGGTGTTGTGGTGTGTGTTGTGGTCGTTGTTGTTGGTGGTGCTTTTGCTGCGCAGTAGTAGTAGTAGCAGTAGTAGTAGTATTAGCAGTAGTAGTAGTGGCCGTAGTAGTAGAAGTAAGAGTAGTAGAAGCGGCATACGTAACAGTAGTGGTTGTAGCAGACGTAGTCGTAGTATGTGTAGCAGTAGTAGAAGTAACAGTGGTAGCAGTCGTAGCATAAGTAATAGTCGTAGTCGTGGCCGTAGCCGTAGTCGTAGTAGTAGTAGTAGTAGTAGAAGAAGAAGTAGTAGTAGTAGTAGTAGTAGTAGTAGTAGTAGTACGAGTAGTACCCGTAGTAGTAGTAGTAGTAGTAGTAGTAGTAGTAGTAGTAGTAGTCGTAGTAACAGACGTAGTCGTACTAGTAGACGTAGTAATAACAATAGAAATAATATAAATAGTGGTACGAGAGGTCGTAAAAGTATTCGTAGTAGTAGTCGTAGTAGTAGTAGTAGTCGTCGTCGTAGTAGTAGTAGTAGTAGTAGTAGTAGTAGTAGTAGTAGTAGTAGAAGTAATCATAGTAGTAGTAGTAGTAGTAGTAGGACTAGTCGTAGTAGTACTAGTAGAAGGAGTAGTAATAGGAGAAACAAACGCAAACATATCATTGTTATTAGTATTGGTAGTAGAACTAATAGTAGTAAGCGTATTCGTAGTAGTAGTAGTCGTAGTAGTAGTAGTAGTAGTAGTAGTAGTAGTCGTCGTCGGGGTAGTAGTAGTAGTAGTAGTAGTAGTAGGAGGAGAAGAAGGAGCAGTAGTAATAATAATAGTAGTAGTGGTGGTTGGAATAATAATTATTGTGGTTGTAGTAATAATAATCGTAGCGCTAGAAGTAGTAGTCGTGGTGCTGGTATTTATCGTTGTTGTTGCAGTAGACGTCGCCGCCGCTTGATAGCAAAGAGCGAATCACAAGAGAGAAGACAAATAATAAGCACCCCTGCAAGCGACACCTCGTAACAAACGCACTGGAGGAAGAAACCACACATGGTTGGACTGTGCAACAAACTTCCGGGACTCAGGATTGTCTAGCTAGCGCCGACACTTGGAGCGCGATGTGGAGGCTTGAGGGAGGACGAGGCAAGAATAGTGAGGGAAAGAAAGGAAGGAGGAGAAAGAAGGACTCGGAAAAGGTAGTGGAGGGAGGTGTAAGGAGGAAAGGGAGGATGAACGAGGATGAAAAACAATGAGAATGAGAGGTACGAAGGATGGACGATGATGAAGCACGGCAGGCAGGAAGAAGGAGGAAAAGGGATGATAAAATGAAGGAGGATAAGACAGATACGGAGGGGTGAGGATGATGATCAGAAGGAACAAACAGGATGAAGAGGTGGGAAGATGTGGTGGGAGGACGGATGAGAATAAGGACGAGGACACGGAGGATGAATGAGGATGGAGGGGAGGTGTGAGGATGAGGACGAAAGATGCAGAGGGAAATGAGGAGGAGGGATGGGGGGTGGAGGGTGAGCAGGAGTATGAGGGAGAGGAACTGGGGAGGAGCCAGGCAGGGAGCGGGAGAGGGCATTGGAAGCTACCGAGGCTCAGACGGGCCAATGGAGACGTGACAGGCGAGACAGGGAAGTCATGGAGGAGACCGAGAGGAGCATCGGGATGTGCGGCGGCGAGCCCGGGAGGGGAAGTCGGAGGAGGCGGGCCTTCTCGGAGGGCTCGGAGGGCCTCCGGCCTGCCTGCAGAGTGCTCCAGGCCGCCTCCGGAGGCAGGCAGAACTTCTCTGAGGCTGGAGGGCTTCCGAAGAGCCTCTGCCGCCTTCTGAGCAGGCCCGCTCCTGCTCGCTTCCCCCCCGGGGCTCGCCGTCGAGGGAGGGCACAAGTGGAAGGGAGGGAAGAGTGCGCAGGCAAGACAGCCGCCGCATGTCTCAAGTACGAAAGGTAGGGATGCAAGGTGCAGAAGAATGGCTGAGGATGGGTCGAAAGGGCAGGGAGGTAAGGGGCATCATGAGGAAGAGACCTGCTCATTCTTGCGGGCGACGGCCGCAAAGAGGAGCGAGAGCACCAGGGGAGCATGGAGTAACCCAAGCACAGGAGGGGCAGTCCTCCCCCTCCCCTCCCCCCCTCCTCCTCCCTCCCCCTCCTCCTCCCTCCTCCTCCTTCCTCCTCCTCCTCCTCCTCCTCCTCCTCCTCCTCCTCCTCCTCCTCCTCCTCCTCCTCCTCCTCCTCCTCCTCCTCCTCCTCCTCCTCCCGGCAGGAGGTCCGCGTGCCTTCTCGGCTCGACAATTGGAGCACGACGAGCAGGCGGGCGGCTGCAGCCACGCACGAGTGGCGCGCCACACCAGAGCGACAGCAAACACTACCTCCGCTGCATCTCACTGGCCCCTCGACGCCAGGTTTGAGTCGGGCGTGTCCCCCTACAGGCGGATGTTGGACGAACAAGTAACAATACGAAAAGAAATGCCCCCAAGTAGCCAAACAAATCATCAAAACATAGTCCCCAGACTATGCTTTTACCATTTTTGAATATTCCTCCTGTAGAGGGACAGGTCCGACTTAACGCGAGGTGGCAGCGCCGCTACCGCACTGCACGCCAGTGCGCGCATGCGTTGCGGTGTGCTGCGTGGCTGATACTCCCGGGCGCAGACACTCAACCGGGTCAGGGTGCGCGCGCCCTCACCAGACCTAGCCACTGCCAGGGAAGCTGCGTGAGCTGCCGATCAGGCCTGCTGTCGTACGTCCTCCTCCTCCTCCTCCGCCGCCTCCTCCTCCGCTGCCTGCTGGTCGTGCACCTCCTCCCTTTCCTCCTCCTGCTCGTCCTCGTGACTCTTCCCTTTCCTCCTTTCCCTCTTCTTTTCCTCCTCCTCCTCCTTCTCCTCCTCCATCTCCTTCTCCACCGTTCTCCATTCCTGCCACGCCACGCCCGCTCCCTGAACGCAGCCCCGGAGCCCCTCCTGGGCCCTAATTATCCTGGGCGGTTTCTCGTCCCGTCAAGATCGATTCTTAACGGTCCTCGGGGCCCCCAAACGCGCCCCTGTAGCCCGATGTCGAACACAAACGTCTGGCGCCATGTTCTTCGTGCCTCCGGCTCCTCCTCCACCGCCGACCCCCCCGACCTGCAGGAACAAGAAACAGCGACACCACCACCACCACCAGGGACCACCTACGGGAGGAACCAGGGATGGTGCTCCTGGTGGTGTGGTCCCCCCCTCTCGCTCGAGACAGCCCCTATCCCCTGCTCGGGGAGGCATCGTGGACCTCTCGCTGGAGGTGGCACTCCTTGTGGTGGTGGTGTCGCTCCTCCTTCCCCCGAACCTCTGCCCCTACTCGGCGTGGAGGCAGCCAGGGGTGCTGAACTGGATGGGACGCTAGAAAATCGGTTAGGAGAGGGGATCAAGCCAAATCCGATCAAAATCGGTCCCCAGACCCCTCCCGTGGTCCATCTGGTGTAGCTTTTCACCCCGGGGACCGACAACGTCCCCCGTAGACCGACAGATGCAAAACACCTTCCTCCCGAACCAAGCGCCTCGAACCTGCCCCCCGTTCTTACACGCCGGAGCCAATGCCGGGCGGAGGAGGAGGAGGAGGAGGAGGATGTGGAGGAGGAGGGGGAGGAGGAGGAGGAGGAGGAGGAGAAGAAGGAGAAGGGGGAGTAGGAGGAGGAGGAGGAGAGGAGGAGGAGGAGGAGGAGGAGGAGGAGGGGGAGGAGGGGGAGGAGGAGGAGGAGGAGGAGGAGGAGGAGGAGGAGGAGGAGGGGGAGGAGGGGGAGGAGGAGGAGGGGGAGGAGGAGGAGGCCGGGCCACCTCAGACCCCCAGCCAGCTCCAAGTGTCGCTCCTCCTCTCCCCGCACCTCGGCCCCCTCTCGGTATGCATCCGCTCCTCAGGTGGCACTGGCGGCAGACACCGCCGCCGCGCGCGAGCGTCGCTCTGCGGACGAACAGGAAAAAACAAAGCGGGCGGCAGGGCTCGCCCGAGACATGCCTCGAGGCGCCGGGGAGCCTTCACTAGCATTAGGTCGGGCACGTCCCCCATACAGGGGGACTTTGGACGAACATTTAAATATAGTAAAACAAAATGCTACACATGGTCAACATGTGCTCAAAACATCGCTCCCATAATTTTTTTTGACTATCTTGGAATCCTCTTCCTGCAGAGGGACACGCCCGACTTCACACTAGCAGAGCTCGGCGGCGCGCCTCGGGGGGGAAGGCGAGGAGGGGGCGGGGCCTTCTCGGAGCAGAGAGCAGGACATCCGCGCTCCGAATGCTCGCCCTTGGAGTTCGGTCGGGCGTGTGCCCCTACGGGCGGCTTCTGGACGGCAGCTAAAACATACCGACCAACAAGTACATCGTCCCCCTACTCTTTTTCTCTTTATGTTTGAATATTCCCCCTGTGGAGGGACAGGCCCGACTTAGCCCTAGAGGAAAAAGCAAACTGTGCACATGCACCCATTCAGGCCAGGCCAATCCTGAGCCCAGGATCGGTGCGTACGCCTTCGAGGCTTGGCCAGGGAGGCATGTACACCGATCCTGGGCCCTGGGACGCTCTTGACAAGGATCGGTGTACCGTCGGGCCCTGACCTAAGGAACCCTAAATAAGGAACGAGGCCCCTTTTTCCCATAAGTTAAACTTCGATTTCCCATCGAAACCCTAAGCAAAACCAAAGGCGAACTGCAAAACAACTAAGGAACACCGAGCCCCTCCCCAACGAAAAGAGTTCCTTCTCCAGCGCCCCGACTGTATGTGCATAGGTCGGCTCGCCCGACGCGAGGTCGTTTAGTAAATGCACCCAGAGAAAAAGTCAAACAGGGCAGGGTTGTTTAGTAAACGCCCAGGGCCGTTTGGTAAACACCAGTTGTCGCGGGTCTGGGTGGTTTTTCCTCCCTTGACAGAAGGCGCAGGGGCTTCTCAAGCCCTCCAGCCTTCTGAGAGGCCGCCTGTCTTCGGAGAAGGCGTAGAAGGAGCTTCTCGGAAGGCCCGAGGACGTCCGAGCATTCTGAGAAGGCCTGCCCCCGCTGGCTTCCCCCCTGGGCTCGCCGCCGAAAAGCGCCGTGCTTGAGCACGGGCAGTCGGGACGCGGCAAGCGGGGTGCGAGCGCAGCACAAAGGCCCCGTCCTCCCTGTGCCCCTTCCCGGCGCCCACGCCCCACAGGACGGCGGCAAGACTCCGCAGAGCAGCGCTCCAGGCGCGTGCGATGTGGGCGTCGGGACCCGAGCCCCGAAAAGACATGCAGGGTACCACGGGGAAATCAGGTGCAAAACACGGGCACGGCGCCTCCTGCTGCACATCGCCTCCTCACCGTAATTACTGCCCCATGCACTTCCTCACCGTCCTCCCTTTGCCCCACGAGGCCACCCGACACGACGCCTCCTGCTGTGCCCCCCGAGGAGGAGGACGGGGACAGAGGCGAGCGGCGGTGCGGGGGCACACCACTTCCTCTCCGCACTGCTCCTCCACCTCTTCTCAATCCTCCCTGAACGCCCGAAATGTCCAGGATAACTGCTGTCGGGGGTAACTCCGGTTTGGGCCTCCGAGGCGCGAATCCTTGCCTGATTCCTCCCAGCCCTAATGTTTCGAGAAGGTTGGACGCCGAAGATATCCGGGATAACTGCTGTCCGGGGTAACTCCGGTTTGGGCCTCCGAGGCGCGAATCCTTGGCTACCCCTGATACCTCCCAGCCCCGATGACTCGGGAGGGTTGGACGCCCGAGTTGCCCGGGATAGTTCACTGCTGCCCGGGGTAACTCCGGTTTGGGCCCCCGAGGCGCGAAGCTGTGGCTACCCCTGCCCGCCCGCAGCCCTGATGAGTCGGGGCTCTGAGAGGCGAGCGGTGGTGTCGGGGATGGACAGACCTCCCTTTAGTAGAACGTGGTTTAGTGAAAACGACCTCGGGCCCAAACCTGGCGGGCGCAAGCCTGGAAAATAACGGCCGCGGCGCCCTCTCGAGAACCGAAAACGGACAATTCACTAATCGACGTGTCACTGTTGGGGGTTCTGTCCACCTCCGATGGTGGGGGGGCGCGCCACTTCCTCACAGCACTGCTCCCCCCTCGCTTCCCGGGCCTCCCGTCGCCCCACGAGGCCACCCGATCGCGCGCGAGGTCCGGCCTGGCCAGACAATTCGGGGTGCGCGCGGCGCCTCTCACGGGCCGCAGCGCAGCGGGGTCCGCGCCGCCTCCCCCAAAGAGGGAAGGAGGAGGAAGCGATGAGACGAGGGCACGAGACGTGAGACGCGCAAATCGGATCCGAAGAACTCCAGGCCTCTAAGCCCGTATCGGTTGCCGCGCCCACCATGAAGAAGGAGCGCTCTGGTAGCCCCTGGACCGAGTTACCCGTGTCCTGAGGCTGCCTGAAGCGGGGAGGGGGCACACATTGCAGGACGGTTGCAGGACAACCTACGCACGACACTCTGCTTCACAAGTCCGACCCCAGCCCGTGGCTCCAGCAGGGAGAACGCCCCGCCCGTGCGAACCTCAGGCCTCTGCCGCAGAAGACCTCAGGCTCAGCTCGCTTCCGGTGTCAGACCATGCCGTCGGCGAAGGATCGCCGACGGTCTCCTGCAGCGTCTGGGAGGTGCTGCTCCCCCCGCAGTCCCACAAGCCGGGCGCCTTGCCGGAGCTCCTCTCGCTGCACCTCTGGGACTCGCCCTGCGTGCCCCTCTGCAGGCCGCTGGCGACGGCGCGCCAGTAGTCGCGCTCCAGCAGGATGGCGTCGAGGCAGGTGCTCCCGCCGCCCTCGGTGCCGAGCATGGGCGCCGGCGGCGCGCCCGCGCCCCGCAGACGCGCCGCCTTCGGCGGCACGTGCGGCGGGGGGTCCGTCGCGGGCGCTGGCGGCGGCAGGGCGGCGGCGCCGCCGCCGCTCCCTGGCGGCCGCGCGGCTGGGGGGTGCGCGGAGGTCGCCCCGGCGGGGCTGCCCCCGCACGCGCGGCCCCTCGGCGCCCACACGAGGACCGGGCTGCGCACGGCCTCCGCCGCTGCCTGCGGGGGCCGCGGCCGAGGCGGCAGCTCCCCAGCGGCCAGCGCGGCGTCCCTCGGCGCGAGCAGGTCCAGGAAGGGGCCCGTCCAAAAGGCGGTCTGCTGCTGCTGCTGCTGGCGGATAAACAGCGCGCGCAGCGTCTCGCACTCGCGCCGTGCCTAGAGCGCAACGAGAAAGATAAACTTTCGGAGCTCCGCGCGGAACTCTTGGATCTGCGCCGAGCCCCCTTCCTTGCGCGCCTCCGGCGCCAGGGGCGGCGCCGGAGGCGCCGCCAGGAGGGCCAAGCGCAGATCCCAGAAATCCGCGCGGAGCTCTGAAAATTAATTTGTATGCAAGATTTTCTCTGTCGAATGCCGCGTCGAGGTCGGCGCCAAGCTGCTCGCGGTCCCGCTCTGCGCGCCCGTCGCGATCCGCGCTCCTGGCTCTGGCACGGCGCAGCCTGCGCCGCAGCTCCGTGATCTGCAGCGACAGGCTGCGCACCGTCTGCGGGCAGCCCAGGTCGAGCCCCGTCGGCGTCTCCAGCTCTCCGGCGGGCCAAGACTGCACCAGCTCATCCTCGCCTGCACGAGGCCCCTCTGCGGCAACTCATGGGGGCCTACCGTACCATCTTGTTGGCTCTTGCGAATCGAGGCAAAACCGACGCTAATCGATACTACATGGACGCTAACTCGACGCTAAGTCGGCTCTCTCTCTCTCTCTCTCTCTATATATATAACGGATTGCCAACAAGATAATGCAGGCTAACGCACTTTATTGACGGAAATCCGAAGATATTTGAATGCATTAGCGTGCGCTAACGTCTGGTAGCCAATGAAAGAGCGCCGACCTGGCGCCGATGAGCGTGCGCCAGCGTCGGGCAATCGATGAGTGAGCGCCGATCTAGCGCCGATGTATCGTCGGTGCTGCTTGAGCAGGGACCGACCGTCCCGGCATTCTTATAGGCCTATACCACGACATGTTCTCAGAACCCAGAAATGTTCGAATAACAAAAACACTGTTCTTAGAACATAAACCCGATGTACTGAACCAGACAGTCCCAGCCAGAAATGGTCTGAGAACACTTCGTGGAAGCCACAGAAAAGGTCCCCAGAGCACTCTTCGGCAGGCCCTAACAGGCACGCCAGGACGCCTCGCCGCTGCTGGAGCCGCGCCGATTCGCCAGAGCCCGCATACTTGTACGGCTGAGCTCCCTGGAGTTGCCGCCGAGAGTGAAGGGGCCCTGGGGCACACAAGTACATACACACAAATAAAAAAATACTCCCAATGATCTCCCATCATTTCTCTGGGTTTCTATCTCCCCCCCCCGATTCCGATATTTCCCTATGTTTTCCTGGGCATCGGCGATAAATTGTGTCTGTGTGCTTTTTCCCCTCCCGAGGAGATTGGACGCCCGAGTTATCCGGGGTAACTCGGGTTTGGGTTCCCGAAAAACGAACCCGAGTTAGCCCTGACCCGAGTTACCCCTGATGATTTGGGCTCTGGACGCCCGAGTTATCCGGGGCAACTCGGGCCCGGGGTAACTCGGGTTCGGAATCCCGAAAAGCGAACCCGAGTTAGCCCTGACCCGAGTTACCCCTGATGATTCGGGGCTCTGATTCTTCCCCTCCCGAGGGAGAGGCCCGCTGCCTGCCCGCGAGCGCCTCGAGGCGCCGCGCTCCGGCCCGCGCCCGCCGGCCGCCGAGGCCCCGCTGCTCGCTGGCCGGCCGGGCGTGCCCCGCGGGCCGCTCCGCGGCGGCGGCCCCTCGGGGCCCCGAGGCGCCAGCGGCGAGGGCGCCGCGCGCGGAGACTGAACCTCAGGTCTGACTAATGTGGGATGACGATTAATGAAAAAAATGGGGGGGAACGATTCAAAAAATAGTTTCCTGCCATTTCTGCACAGTTTTCGGACTGGAAGAGAACGATTCCAAAAAATAGTGTTCCAGCCCGCGGCCGGTTTTTCTAATCGTCATCCCGGGCGCCTCCGCGTGAACGCGACTCCCGGTCATCTATTAATCGTCATCCTCCATGACCTACCAGACCACCCCAACCCAACCCGAAGACCCCAATTTCGGGTTGGGGGGGGTACGGGTTCCATAGATGTGCTTTTCCGATGTTTCCCGATTTCCCCTCCCAAATGGAGGGCAAATTGAGGCCTTCGGGTTGGGTTGGGGTGGTTTAAAGTGGGTGGTGAAGGTCGGGCCCGTCCTCCCACAGGCGGCTACTTTGTGGGCGAGCAATCAAGCATGGTCCAGGCAGGTCCCAAAGTAGTCCAGCAAATAGTAGCAGAATCGTCTCGAGATTTTGTGTATACACTGTGTTTTGGGCATTCCTCCTGAAAAGGGACAGGCCCGATTTAAACTTAACCTGCAGGAGCACCCACAAGTGCGAGGCCAAAACACAGACCACCATCAACTCCCTCGTTCGAAGCCGGAAACTATGATGTTTTTTGTTCGGCCGGCGCGCAGATTTTCATGTTCTCGCTCTCACGCCTTCATGTGGGAGGCCAACAGCTGCGCGACGCGACACCCAGCACGTGAATCAAGCAGCTTGCCCTCTCCCAGGAACAAGGAGAAGAAGAGGATGGTAGAGAGAGGAAGGGAAATGGAGGTCGTGGTGGCGCATATTACTGGGATCCGCGAGACAGTGGCAAAAACACAAACCTTTTGGAACTCTGCGTGGGTTTCTCGGATCGGCGCTAGGTCCCTTCTGGCGGCGCCTCTGGCGCCGCCCCTGGCGCGCTCCGCGCGCCAGGGAGAGGGGTCCAGCGCCGATTCCAGCAATCCGCGCGGAACTCCAACAATTTATGTTCATGCGACCTCTCTTCTTCGAGAACCGGAATGCACTGCACATTCGGGCAGGTGCCTGAGGGCTGGCTCTTGTCCGGGATCTGGACGTAGTGGGACTTCCGCTGGCTGCGTATCAGCTTGGAATCCGTGGCCATGGCCAGGGTGGACAGCGTGGTGGAGCGGTGCTTCGCCAGCGGGCTGACGCAGAATACCATCGCTATCCCGCAGCCCGGCCTCAAGTACTCCCACAGGCACTTGTTCAGAACGCTCTGCCTGCGCTCTGATTCGTCCAAGCTGTTCGTCTGCAGCTTCCGGAGCAGCCGGTTCAAGGACGACAGCGACGTGTTCAGAAGCCGCGCCGACTTCTTGCCCTGGTCGGAGGGGTTATCGTGCTCCCTCTCCGTCCCTGCCAAATCTACGAGCGTGAGTGCGCCGATGGTGCTCTGCCGGCCGCCTTCTGAATCATGGTGCCGCGGAGCCCCGACGGTGGGATTCTGCACGAAGAGGTGTACCACGGCGTGGGACCTGGACGAGCTCGAGTTGCACGAGGAGACGCCCTTGGCACGGTTCGCGCGCGCCTCGTGGAGAAGGTCGAGACAAGTCTCGACGCGGGAGACGCGCACGATCTGGTACTGGCACAGGCGTGTCTTCACGAAGACCTCGTCGGTGACAACGTCGTCGCTATGCAAGTTCCCCTGCTCGATGGGCCGCCGCGGGTTGACCAGGTCGGTCAACGTGTCGCCGAACACTTCGTAGCAACAAACGTGGATGCTGCTGCCCGGGAAAGCCTCCGCTTGCTGGAAGAAGGCGTCCACGAAGAGCCCCAAGAGTCCCGCCTCTTCCCCCGAGCCGAAAATCGTGTGCGTCTTGCCGCTTCCCGTCTGGCCGTAAGCGAAGAGCGTCTCGTTCACGCCGCCGAACACGCTGGAGGTCAGCGCGGGGCCCTGCATGTCGTGGAACAGCGCCCGGTTGTCGTCGGCGGGGCCGAACACCCTGGAGAACTCGTACTCCTCTACCACGTAGCCGCGGCTGCAGCACAGCATCCTCTGGCGCGCGCCGCCCTCTTCCGGAGGCTTCGCCCAGACGGAAATGTCCCCCGAGGCGGTGGCGGGCGCAGGCCTCACACGGAGGGCGACGGACACGAAGGGCGCGCTCGCGCGCCGCCTGCCTCCGCCGGCGTGGCCGACGCCGTCTGGGCGCGCCTCCTCGAACTCCGCGGGCTGCCCCGACCTCGCGCGTGGCGCGGCATCCTGGCACGGTGGTCTGGTCCGCCCTGCGGTCGGGATGTTTGCTTAGCGTATCGCGGCAGCGACCCTGGCGACACGCTATGCCCTGCGAGCGGCTGGCGTGTCGCTCCGCTCCGCGGGGCGGGAGGCTCGGAAAGCTCGGGACGTTGACGCCGGGGGACAAAGACGTCGATGGCGTGTCACGCCGAAGTGCGGTGGGCCGGAACCGGCGGAGCGACACGCTATCCAAAAGTTCCCGACCGTCGGGGCTAGGCCTCGCCAAGGGTGGGAGGCGAGGAACAACCAACCAGACCTGCAACAAAGGACAAGACTGAGCAAGCATGATGAGCGATCGGCAAGGCTTGACCGTCTCTCTGCTTTGGGGGTGGGCTCCTGGGCGGACACCATCGTGACAATACAAAGCACGCCCGTCGAGATCATTTTCCACCACTCCTCAAGGAGGCGAGGGGAGCCTTAGGAGGACCATGAGATCCTACAGGGTTGCATTTCGACCAGAGGTTGGAATATAATTCAGCCGCGCCAACGAGAGGCCACACAAACATGAAACACGTCCGACAACCTCCTGAAATGTTCGAACTACGACGACGACTACGACGGTGGCGACGATGGCAACATTGAGGGACAGGAGGAAGAGGAGGAGTAAGTTAAGGAAAGGGGGGAGGAGAAGGAGAAGGAGGAGGAGGAGGAGGAGGAGGAGGAGGGAGAAGGGGAGGAGGAGGAGGAAGAGGAAGAGGAGGAGGAAAACGAGGAGGAGGAGGAGGGAGAAGGGGAGGAGGAGGAGGAAGAGGAAGAGGAGGGCAAGGGGAGGAGGAGGGGAAGGAAGGAGGACGGAGGAGGAGGAGGAGGAGAGAGGGGAGGGAGGAGGAGGAGGAAGAGGAGGAGGAGGAGGAGGAAGAGGAGGAGGAGGAGGACAAAGAAGGAGATGAGGAGAAGAACGAGAAGAGGAGGAGGAGGAGAGAACAGAAGAGAAGAGGAGACAAGAGAAAAACCAAGAAAGAACGAGAAGAGAAGAGCCGAGAAGAGAAGAGAAGATAAGGAGGACGGAGGAGAAGGAGGAGGGGGACGGAGGACGGAGGAGAGGAGGGGGAGGAGGAGGAAGAAGAGGAGGAGGAGGAGGAGGAGGATCTTATAAGGAGGAAGAAGAGGAGGATAGGGACGAAAAGGAGAGGAGGAGGGGAGGAACAGAAAGAGGAGGAGAAGGAGGAGGAGGAAGAGGAGGAGGAGAAGGGAGATGAGGAGGAGGAGGAGGAGGCGAGGAGGGCGAGGAGAAAGACGATGACGAGGAGGGGAAGGAGGAGGAGGAGGAGGAGAAGGAGGAACCAAGAAGGAATCATTAGGAGCGAGACGCCCGAGGAGAACACCAACTGAGGCGGAGGAGGGGGAGGAGGAGGAGGAGGAGGAGGAGGAGCAGGAGGAGGAGGAAGAGTACGAGGAGGAGGAGGAGGAGGAGAATAATGAGGAAGAGGAGAAGGAGGAGAAGGGAGGAGGCGGAGAAGGAAGATAAGACGAGGGATAGAGATGGGGAAGCGGACCATGGAAAGGAGGAGGAGGGGAAGGAAGATGGGGAGAGGAGGAGGCGGAAGATAATACGAAGGATGAGGAGGAGAAACAACATAAAAAGATAACGACGAGGAAGGGAACATGACCAACACGGGGGTAAGCGGGAGGGCGGTGGAGGAGGGTGTCGAGAAGGGAGACCAACTTAGGGAGGATGGGGGTGAAGAGGAGCATGATGAAGATTATGAGAAAGTTGAGGTGGCAACGGAGAAGGAGCACGACGGATGATGATGCTGATGCAGATTATGCTGCTGATGCTGATGCTGATGGTGATGATGTTGGCGAGGAGGAGGAGGAGGAGGAGGAGGAGGAGGAGGAGGAGGAGGAGGACGAGAAGGAGAACTGAGGAGGAGCAGGAGAAGGAACAGGAGGACATGAAGGAGGAGGAGGAGGAGGCATTGTTCATGGCATTGCCTCTCGGATCGGTCCGAGGCTACGGAGTGAACCCAAAGCAAAGAACTATCGGACCCCAAGTCTCCCAATGCTACAGAGCGAGGAAAGTTTGAACCCGAGTGGCTTATAGATGCGACGTCCCCCAGTGAAGGGATCCTGTAGGCGGGGGGGGCGCTCAAATCTGGAGACGTCCCCTCTGGAGGGACAGTCACGTAGGAGGAGGGGGAGGAGGAGGAGGAGGAGGAGGAGGAGGAGAGGAGGAGGAGGAGGAGGAGGAGGAGGAGGAGGAGGAGGAGGAGGAGAGGAGGAGGAGGAGGAGGAGGAGGAGGAGGAGGAGGAGGAGGAGGAGGAGGAGGGGAGGAGGAGGAGGAGGGGAGGAGGAGAAGGAGAGAAGGAGAAACAACAGGAGGAGGAGCAGGAGGAGGAGGAGGAAAAAGTGGAGGAGGAGGAGGAGGAGGAGGAGGAGGAGGAAGAGGAGGAAGAGGAGGAGGAGAATGACCAGGAGAAGGGTGATGATGAGGAGAAGCAGGAGAAGCAGGAGGAGGAGGAGGGAGGAGGAGCCGGAGGAGGAGGAGGAGGAGGAGGAGGAGGAGGAAGAGGGGGGGAGACGGACGAGGAGGTGGGGGAGGGGGAGGAGGAGGAAGAGGAGGACGAGGAGGCGGATGAGGAGGAGGAGGAGGAGGAGGAGGAGAGGAGAGGAGGAGGAAGCGGAATAGGAGGAGGAGGAGGAGGAGGAGGAAGAGGAGGAGGAGGAGGAGGAGGAGGAGGAGGGGGAGGAGGAGGGGGAAGAGGGAGGAGGAGGCGGAGGAGAAGGGAAGGAGAAGGGAGGAGGAGGAGGAGGGGAGGAGGAGGAGGAGGAGGAGGGGGAGGGGAGAGGAGAGGGGGGGGAGGCAGGAGGAGGAGGAGGAGGAGGAGGAGGAGGAGGAGGAGGAGGAGGAAGGAGGGAGGAGGAAGAGGCGGAGGAGGAGGAGGAGGAGAAGAAGTAGGAGGGAGGAGGAGGACGAGGGAGAAGGGAGTGGGGAGGAGGGAGGGGAGGGAGAGGAGGGAGGAAGGAGGAGGGAGGAGGAGGAAGCGGAGACGGAGGAGGAGAAAGATGAGGACGGAGGACGACCAAGCAGGAAGGGGAGGGGAACGAGGAGGAGGATGAGGAGGAGAAGGGGAAAGATGAGGAGGAAGAGGTGGTTGACTAGGCGCAGGATAATGAAGAATAACAGTACTAAGCATGATACCAATAAGAATAAGAAGAGGACGACGGGGGAGGAGGAGGAGGAGGAGAAGGAGGAGGAGGAGGACGAGGAGAAGTAGGAGGAGGAGGAGGAGGAGGAGGAGGAGAGAGGAGGAGGATTCGGGAAAAGATGGGGATGAAGAGGAGGGGGGAGGGATGACACGGGATGGGTGAGGACGAAGGGGGGAAGAGGAGGTATAATGAAGTAGGAAGGAGGAAGGAGGGAGGAGTGAGGAGAGGAGGAGGAGGGAGGAGGAGGAGGAGGAGGAGGAGGAGAGGAGGAGGAGGAGGGGGAGGGGGGGGGGGGAGGAGAAGGAGGAGGAGGAGGAGGAAGAGGAGGGGAGAAGGAGAAGGATGGAGGCGAGGAGGCGAGGAGGAGGGAGGCGAGAGAGGCGAGGAGCTTGGCCCACAGGGTGCTCGCGCGCGGGCCTGGTGCCGCCCCTGCGGCGTGGCCCTGGACACCGCCGTGCCGCCGCCGCCACGCGCGGCCTCGAGGGCAGCCGGAGGGCTCCGTCCTGGCTCGGGAAGGCACCGCCGAGCGCGGCCGCGGGGCCGCCAGCGTCTCTTCGCGGGCCGAGGCAGCTGCGGAGGAGGATCGGATGACGAGGGGAGGAGGAGGGGGAGGAGGGGGAGGAGGAGGAGGAGGAGGAGGAGGAGGAGGAGGAGGAGGAGGAGGAGGAGGAGGAGGAGGAGGAGGAGAGGAGGAGGAGGAGGGGAGGAGGAGGAGGAGGAGGGAGGAGGAGGAGGAGGAGGAGAGGAGGAGGAGGAGGAGGGGAAGGAGGCGGGGGAGGAGGAGGAGGAGGAGGAGGAGGAGGATCGAATGACTGGGAGAAGGAACATGCTAATGATGTTGATGATGATGATGATGCTGATGGTGATGCTGATGATGATGATCATGATGCTGATGATGACGATGACGATGACGATGATGATGCTGCTGCCGATGATGATGCTGATGATGATGGTGATGATGATGCTGCTGCTGATGATGATGATGATGAGGAAAAGGAGGAGGAGGAGGAGGAGGAAAAGGAGGAGGAGGATGAGGAGGAGGAGGAGGAGGAGGAGGAGGACGGGGATCGGAGGCGGCAGCTGCGGTGGAGGAGGATCCAAGGATACATGGAGGACGAGGAGGAGGCGGCAGAGGTGGAGGAGGAGGAGGAGGAAAAAGAGAAGGAGAGGAGGAGGAGGAGGGAGGTGGAGGAGGAGAGGAGGAGGAGGAAGGAGGAGGAGGAGGAGGAGGAGGAGGAGAGGAGGAGGAGGAGGAGGAGGAGGAGGAGGAGGAGGAGGAGGAGGAGGAGGAGGTAGGAGGAGGAGGAGAGGAGGAGGAGGAGGAGGAGGAGAGGAGGAGGAGGAGGAGGAGGAGGAGGAGGAGGAGGAGGAGGAGGAGGAGGAGGAGGAGGAGGAGGAGGAGGAGGAGGAGGTGGAGGAGGAGGGAGGGGGGAGGAGGGGGAGGAGGAGAAGGCAGCTGCTGCTGCTTTTGCTGCTGCCGCTGCTAAGGAGGAGGAGGAGGAGGGGGAGGAGGGGGAGGGGTAGGGTTAGGGGTAGGAGTGGGAGGAGGAGGAGGAGGAGAAGGAGGAGGATCAAAGGTCCGTGGAATGGAAGAGGAGGAGGGTGACCGGAGGCGGAAGAGGATCGGAGGAGGCAGCTGCGGAGGAGGAGGAGGAGGAGGAGGAGGTGGAGTGTGAAGAACGCCACATGTGCTCTCATAGGATTTATTCAACGTGCAAAATTGAGTTCGGATGTCTCTGAGCCTTTCCTATGGCTCTGCGCTGGCCGAAGCAGCCACGGAGGTTCGGCTCGGCTCCAGCCCCGCGGGCATCTTTGCCGAAACGGTGCTGCACTTGACGCGTGAACCTTGTTTCAACGCATTTCCTCTCGGGTCGGCCCGAGGCTACGGAATAAACCCAAAGCAAAGAACTATCGGACCCCAAGTCTCCCAGCGCTACAAAGCGAGAAACATCTGAATCCGAGTGGCTTGTAGATGTGACGTCCCCCCGTGAGGGGATCCTGTAGGCGGGGGGGCGCTCTAATCTGGAGACGTCCCCTCTGGAGGGACATTCACGTAGGAGGAGGAGGAGGAGAAGGAGGAGGAGGAGGAAGAGGAGACAGAGGAGGAGGAGAAGGAGAAGGAGGAGGAGGAGGAGAAGGAGGAGGGCAAAAGGATCCATGGATCCGGTGATGTTGAATGTGTATGTGCTTTCTTGGGGCTTGGTGAGGCTTCTCGTCCCCACAGCTGGAAATCCCATTAAACTTCTCGCCAAATCGCACCCCATGACAGGTCAGGGGGTCGACTTTTGAGAGGATGAGGTGTGGCAGGACAAGGAAAACTGAGGAGGGGAAATGGGGTGGGGGACAATGGTGGCGGAGGGGAGGAGAAGCTAGAATTCGGAGGGAGACAGGGAGTGGGATGGAGGAGGGGGAGGAGGAGGAGGAGGAGGAGGAGGAGGAGGAGGAGGAGGAGGAGGAGGAGGAGAGGAGGGGGAGGGGGAAAGGATGAGAAGGGGGGAGGAGGAGGATGAGGAGGATGAGGAGGATGAGGAGGATGAGGAGGATGAGGAGGATGAGGAGGAGGAGGAGGATAAAAGGAAGGAGAAGGAGGAGGACGACGATGAGGACGACGAGGAGGGGGGGAGGGGGAGGAGGGGGAGTAGAAGGAGGAGGATGAGGGGGAGGGGCATGAGGGGAAGGTGGAGGGAGGGAAGAAGTGGTGAATAAGGGAGGGGGGGGTGGAGTAGAAGCACGGGGGGTGAGGAACGAGCAGGAAAGAAAAAGAGAGAGGGGACACGGGTGGAGAGAGAAAGGAGGGCGCAGAAATGAGGAAGTTAATCGGCAGGAGTCAGGCGAGATGAGGGAGGCAACACGTCGCTCGTCGCCGCACGCCGTCTCAAAGGTCAAGACCGCTCAGTGCGTACGGCTCGTCGTCGTCGAGCAGAGGGGAGCAGCACCATTGCCACGGCAGGAATGAAAAGCTGTTTCGGGCTTGAGAACGAGCGTCCAACGCAGACGCCCGGAGCATATCGAGGCTGCCATGCTCGTGGAGTCCACCCGTGCGCACAGTGGACACGTCGACGCTCGCCAGGTTCCAGCACCGCAGGGAAGATCCGAAGCCCTGCGGGATCAAGAAGTGGAGCCCCTTTGGCCCACCCTTGGACCTCACCCCCTCCACGAGCAGGACAAGAGTCACGAGGCGAGATGGCCGAGGCCCCAAGAGCTCGAGCCAGTAGGCGAAACAATGCAAGGGGCCATTTCCCGGCGACGTTCACAGCAGATTCGGTGTTCGACTGTTGATCCGCTCGTAATCCGCGGGCCTTCGACGGTCTTCGGTGGTATCCGCCGTCATTGTGCGTGAAAGCTGGGTGGTTGGATTTTGAAAGGGGTCCATGATCTTGCAGAGAAAGGGGATGAGGAGAACTGCGAGGCCTCTCGGAATGAGATGGACCCACTCCGCTCCTCCTGAGGGGCCTCGCTCGTTCCCTCGCGCAAGTTTTCACCAAAGGCGCCGCCCGCGCATCATCACCGCGCGAAGGCGGGTCTGCTCAAATCCCTAGCGTTGCCAATATCAAGCGTACGCCCTGGCTATACAATTGGATTGTGCCGTGCTTGGTCTCATTCGAGCCTAGACAGCCCACAACATGATACCTCGAATCCAGCGGGTGTGCCTCTTCAAGCTCCGTGCGCCTTCCCTGCGATCATGCGGAATCCAGATACGAAAGCCATAATCAGCAGCGGGAAATCACCCAAGTGAGAAAGAACTGCACCTACCTTGCGCCCGTCAGGCCCCCCACCGGAGTACCCGATCCCATAGACCACGCGCCCGAGCACCCAAACACAGTAGAAGCATGTTGATAATAATGGGAATGCGAGTCCGTTGACGACACAAAGGATTGACACAGGAGCCCAAGTCTCGAGCGTGTTTTGATGAGCTCGCTGCACACTGTTGAAATCTCGGTGGTGCTCATTGGTGGACTCAGCATAGAGAAACGGGTAATCGACGCCGTACTCCTTTCTCGCTTGCATCACTCGTATGCTCAAGAAGAAGTTCATGAACCAAGACACCCCCACGGCAACAACGCAATATCCGAAATCCGCCTCCGCACTTGCAGCGAGCCGGGGAGTGCCAAAGCACGTGGAGCTTGTCAACGTGAACTGCTGCTTACGAACCAACAAAGAGGGCGCCCCACACGAAACTCATCACTACGTCTCAGGGTCCCAACGCTGCTGGCCTGGGAATCCCAAAGCGTTCACTGTACAATAGCTCGGGTGGGCCCGTTGAGGGCTCACAACGCAAAGCTCGGAACGCAAAACGCGTTCCCAAGTTTTTCTGATCCTCTGGGGAGGATTGCCATTTTCTGGGACGAGAACCCATCCCCTGGACCTGGACGGGGTGGTCGCGGGTAGTTGGAGCGCCCAAGATGGCCCAAGAAGGCTCCAAGAGCGCCTCGGAAAGCCCAAGATGACCTCCAAGACGGCTCAAGATAGCGCGATATGGCGTTCAAGATGCTCCAAGAACCCGCAAGAACGCTCCAAGACGGATCCCAGTGGCCTCCGAGACCTCCAAGGAGTTCCCCTAGGAGGCCCAATTCTTTCTTTGATAAGAAACTAACGAAAATCAACTATTGTTGCTTTCTCGTCTTTTCGTTGCCGACGGCCATCCGAGGCCTCAAGATTGCTCCAAGATGGCCCAAGAGGGCCCCAGGAGATGCCCACAAGAGCCCCAAGACGGCCCTAAGAGGGCACAAGAGCGCCCCAAGAGCGCTCCAAGAGGGGTCCAAGAGAAAATGTTCGGTGCTCCGTAGGGGGGAGGCTAATTGAAGCTCCCCTCATGTTTGATCGATGTCCTCCAAGATGGCCCCAAGAGCGCCCTTCAAGCTCCCAAGAGCGGCCCAGGAGGGCTCCAAAAGGCGCCCAGACAGCCACAAGAGGCGCCGAAGAGGCCTCCATGAGACCCCATACGAGGCCTGACGAGGATTCCCGAGGTACCCAACTCTCCATCCTCCTCCTCCTCATTCTCCTCCTCCTCGTCCTCGCCCTACACCACCTCCTCCTCCTTCTCCTCCTCCTCTTCCTCTTCCTCCTCCGACGACGGCGACGACTCCATTGTCCCCATCTTGGGGTACATGACGGCTTCCCCCGACCTTTGTTCTTCTGCATGCTCTCCCCCTTCCCTGATCACCTCAAAACCCCTGGGCATCGTTTCTGGATGGTTTGGAGGGGATACTTTTTTGATCTGCGGCCCCAAGGAAGGCTCCAGGGGGCGGGTCAATCGGGCTGACTGGGGCACAGAGCCAGATAATTTGCGAACCCAGCCGTCACTGTCGAGTCTGGAGGGGATACGCGAAGCGTCAACAATTTCGATGTTTTCTCCCTACCGGCTGTCAGGATGGACTCCTTTGGTCTCCCAGCGGTCTTCCGGGCCATCCGAAGCGTCGCATCGGAGGTCCTGGAGGCACCACAGAGACTCCAAAGACGGCCCGTCGCCCAAGGCCCTCCCGAGGCAACCCCGAGACGGCCGAAGACTGTCCCACGGCGGCTGCAAGCCGTCCTAAGACCAACCCAAGACGGCCGAAAGGCAGCCCCAT